ACCAGGGAGGATGCTCCATGGGGACAGGCGGGTCCCTTGCCTGCGGTGACCCCCGTGTCGAGAGCTCTGGGATCCCCATGGATGCTCTGTTCCCATATAGCTGCAACCTCACCTGCTAGCTGTCGGGAGAAGACCCAGTGTTATGCCCCGGGGGTTGCCACCTCTGTCCCCAACGGCATTTAAGGACGAAACACATGGCATCATCCCTGGGGACCATCCTCACCCACCTGATGGAGGTCAGCCCTGACGCCGGCTCGGCCAGGGCAGGTTTCCTCTCCCTCCTCCTCCTGGCCGTGCTGAGCAGCCCCTCGCTGCAGAAATCCCTGCCCGCGGCGTACCGAGACCACGAGGGTCTGCAGGGGGGCACGGGGCTGATCCAGTGCGGGGAATACAGCAACCAGGTGCTGCCCAACGGCCGCTGCCGGATCGTGGCCACGCTGCCGCAGGGGGACGAGCAGCGATGCCCGGATATGTTTCGTTGCACCGACGAGGTGTCCTACTGGCTCCATGAGAACGAAGAACGTAAGCAGCAGGTCCTGGAGCTGCGGGAGTTGATTTCAGAGCTACAGGAGGAGCTGAGGAACCACCGGCACCGTATCAAAGTCCTGGAGCTCCAGGTAAAGGGCTCTCCTTTGCAGACCCCCTCCACGGTCCCTCCCCACCGTCCCTTCCAGCTCCCAGCGGGGAGGACATACGGCATTGTTCTGACCAGGGGCTGGGTGATCCATTAAACCCCAGCTGCTCCTGCTGCGATGGCTCAGGAGCCTTCCAGGGCTGATCTTTCTTAATGTTAGCCACAAACCCTTTGGTGTTTTATCTGTGCTGCCTCCTCCGCCCTCCAGCCTGCCTAGGAGGGGTTGCTGATCCATCCCATCGCCCATAGCAGGATCCCAGGCTAAACCTGGAGGTTTGGGTGAAGGACCACATCTCTGGTGGCCACCACTGAGCAGGAGTGGAAGGCCAGGCTGGATGAGGCTTTGGGCAACCTGGGCTGTTAGGAGGTGTCCCTGCCCATGGCAGGGGGTGGAACTGGGTGGGCTTTAAGGTCCCTTCCCACCAAAACCATTCTGTGATTCTATGATTATCACCCTCCTGGTAATTTCTGTATCTTTTTGCTTAGTTTATTATCATTTTCCCTGCTATTTGGGGATTTTTTTTTTTTGTACTGAAGCATCCTCAGACAGTTAGCAGATGCTCTCACATCCTACCCCAGCGTTCCAGCCCGTGCCTGGCAGCTGGAGGGGAGCTGGTGGACAGGGATGTTTCTGGAGCAGCACCCAAGGGTGGGATTCCTCCTACCCACCCCCAGTGTCTGCCATGCAAGGGTCTCTGTGGGATCCAGCCCATCTCGTAGGGATCTGAGCAGTGAACATAGGCTTGGATGCTGCTAGGACATCTTGGGTGTCTCCTGGAGGATGGGGTGAGTTAGGAGAGCTTGTTCCTCCTCAAGGGGAGGTGAGCAGCATGTCTGCTGCGGGATGCTGGTGGGCTCCTCACCCTACGAGGAGAGCAGAGGGACATGGGCTGCACCCAGGTGTCCCAGGTCCTACCAAGGTGTTTCCAAGGGGTTCGTACCTGGGGGACAGTGCCAGCAGCACCTGTGCCACCAAGAGACTGCTGCGCTCAGAAAGGGGACATCCTCCGAGATCTTTTGAGATCATTTGTAGAAAGTTGGAACTTGATGATCTTTAAGGTCCTTTCCAACCCAAACCATTCTATGATTCTATGATTCTGTAAGTTTCAGACCTTGATTGGAAAATGTCCTGAGCAGCCTGATCCAGCTTGGAGACTGTCCCTGCTTTCTGCAGGGGGGTGGGCTGGAAACCTCCAGCCGTTTCTTCCAACCTCAGTTCTTTTTTTTTTTTTTTTTAATGAGTCTGAAAAAGTAAAGGGATGGGAGGCCTGGAGAAAGGAAGAAAACAAAATCTGGAGAGTTTAACTGGTGGGAACGAGGGTGTCCTGTCACCCTCCAAGCACCAGAGGAGGGGAGAAGTGAGAAGCAAAGCTGAACGCTGCACAGGGAATTACAGCTTGACAGAGGAAACCAGAAGCAGCAAGAGCTGCTGAGCTGCTCCCCTCCGCTCCCCGCCAGCGTCGGGACTCTCCCATAAGGATTTTCCCTGCTGTGTTGGGCTGGCCGCTTCCCAGCTCATGTGCCCAGCCTGGGAAGCCTGGGAAGCTGCTTTCTTCCCGCATCCCCTCACATCTCCTGAGCCACCCTGCCTCATTCCCCGCTGTGCCAGCCTGGGTAGGTCCCTCCGCCTTCATTCCTCCCACCGAGGAGCTGTTGCTCCCTTAATCCTCCTCCATAAATCAGCCTCTGGCTGCTGCTGGTTGGTCTCCCTGGGGTTTGCCATCAGTCATTTCTCTGGGAGCTCGGCGTGGGCTTGTCCATCCAAGCAGAGACATCTCTGGGAGCTCAGCATCCTTTTTGGAGCTGAGTGAGAGCAACAGGCTCTTCCAGGTCACAGCTTCTCCCAGGCTAACGGGGACACCCAAATTGGGTCAGACAGGTTGATCCCATCTCTGGCCATGCTTCCCTCCTTCCAGGGCAATTTAGGGGGTAAAAGGAACCCCCTCACCCTGCGCATTTGCACAGAGCAGGACCCCGTTGGGCAAAAATAAAGAGGAGCAGAGGGATGCGGTGGAGGCAGCAGCATCAGGGCACCGTGGCGGTGGTCTGGCTGCGCTGGTTTTAATCAGCAGCAGGGGAAAGAAAAAAAAAATCAAAAACCCAAGGTATCAAGTGTGGAGGAGGGGATTGTCTGGGAGGAAGCATCATGGGGTTTAGTGGGAGAGCTGGTGCGTGGGTGAAGGAGCTGGAAGAAGCCTGTGGCAGTCACAGCTCACGGAGCAGGTTGGGGGGGATGGCGGATTTATGGTAGAGCCAGAGACATTGCAGTCCTGAGAAGGGCAGCACTGTGTTGTGGCATGCTGTAATTCCCTCTTTGCTGCCCCTGCCTGCCTGGCTGCTCTGGGTTTTGGGGTGTGGGCAGGCTGGATGGGCTGAAGTGTCACTGGGAAGGATAGCACAGAGCTGCCATTAGTTATTGGGACAATAACCCAGCAGGGGTGATGCCTCCCATGGGAAAAGCAAGCTGGGATGTGTCCTGGCAGGAACGGGCACCGAGGGGGGTCCTGGGGGCATCTGGAAGGGAAGAAAACATCCTCTGGGAATGCAAACTCCTTCCAGCTGGGGGAAATCCCCAACCCTCAGCAACACCACGTCAGTTCTGCAGGTAGTGATGAGTCAAGTGACAGATCGCTGTGTCCCCAGGGATATTTAATCAGCCACAAGCTTGCACAGACACCTGGAAATCCAGATTTGCCCCTAACACTGGGGACAGGGAGGGGAGAATAGAAACATTTATTTTTGGGGTCTTGGGGTGGCTTGTGAGCCCAAGGCAGTGATGCTGAGCGGGTGATGGAGGAAGAGTTGTTCCCATCGGGGGACAGGGAAGGGCAGTGCTGGTGGAGAACCAGCACCCCCCCAGTTCATATGGGGGAACTGGGATTGCCAGGCACAAGGGAGGGACTGGGGAGCAGAGTGCGGAGCTGGTGCGCTGCCCAGGGGACGGAGCAGGGGGTTCCCAGGCTGCTGTGGGATTCTGGAGGAGCTGGTTAAGGCTTGCTCTGCCATCTAATGGACAGGGAGCACGGAGCAACAGAGGCGAGCGTGTCTGTGGTGTGTCTGGGATGTGTCAGGGTGCCCATCTCCTGGTGTGAGCTGTGGGCATCCCCAGCCAGCTTGCGCATATGTTTTATGTAGGATCAGAGACCGGCTGTCCTGAAAACAAGCAGCAAAAAGGTCCTAAAAGGGGCTGGGGTCCTGTATCACACACACTTCTTGCTTGACGTGGTCATTGCTGTTTGTAGGACATGAGATGCTGCCCGAAGAGCAGGAGGTGGTTCATCATACAACGTGTCAAAATATGTCCTTATATTGTTATAAAACATTATATAGAATTATAGAATCATAGAATCGTGGAATCACAAAACGGTTTGGGTGGGAAGGGACCTTAAAGCCCATCCAGTGCCACCCCCTGCCATGGGCAGGGACACCTCCCACCAGCCCAGGTTGCCCAAAGCCTCGTCCAGCCTGGCCTTGAACCCCTCCAGGGATGGGGCATCCATGTCGTGCCATGCCCTCCTTTTCCACTGCTTGCACATCCCTGGGGGGTCTGGGGCTGTGCCTCCAGCCCCATGCTGGTCCCCAGACATCCCCCCCATCCATCCCACCTCTCTCCCTGCCCGCAGCACGAGGAAGCGGCCGGCCGGAACCACAGCCTGGCTCAACGGGTCCAAGACCTGGAGCATCGGTACAGCGAGGCCAGCACCCTGCAGCACATCCAGGCCACCTTGCTCTACGACATGCAGGCGCAAATCAACAACATCTCCGTCCTGACCGACTGGGCATGGCGGAATCCCACCTGCCTGGGCCCCGCCGAGATGAGGCTACAGGAGGAGATGCACCATCCAGGTGATGGGGAGCTGCTGGGGGTGGCTGGGAGGGGATGCTTTGTCCTGTCTCGAGGGGGGCTGGGGGAAAAGGCTGTGGAAAAACTGCTTTAATTCCCTTTGTATTGATTAGGAGTCTCATCTCAGACAACCTGCCTTTCCAAAGCAGCCAGGAAGGCTCCTCAGGGCAATGGAGACCTCCAGGGATGGCTTCCATGCTGTCTAGGAGAGTGGTCCTCTCCCTCTGTGGTTCCTTTTTCTCTCCATGGATGGTGTGAGATGCTTGGTGGGACCAGCTCAGGCTCTGACAACCAGCTTGGCATTGGTCCCACCATCACCCCACCTGTATCCAGCTGCATGAGCCTTCCTCCCAGCTCCAGCTCCTAAAACCCACCAATAAACAAGATTTCTTTTTTTTTTTTCTTGAAAAATTCACAGCATGAAATTAGGGCTTTGGTGAAGCTCTTCAACTTTGAAAATCAACAATTTCTGTTATTTCTCACATGCTATTTTTAGTGAATGCATTTTGCCAGGTTTTTGGTTGTTTTCCTTCTTAGTCCCTGAAATGTTGTCTCTGTTTTTTAGCAGACATGGGAACTTTCAATTAAATAATTCAAAGTTCAGTTTGTCTAAAACCCCATTTTCTGCCAAAGAACCCCCTTTGGTGGGGACTGGATGATCTTTAAGGTCCCTTCCAACCCAAACCATCCTGTGATTTTGTAGTTCTACGATCTGGTGATGTCTGGAGGGGGGGAGTCATGTTACTTCCCCCCTGGGCCAACTAGTCTCAGTCTTTTCCACTGTGCTCATTTAAAGCTCTTTTGGCCATCCAGGTCGTGGTGGAGGCAGCATACCAGCTCCACTGGTACCTGCTTCCAGGTACCTCTGAGCCTCGAGTAAGAAATTCTCTGTGCAAAACCATGATGCCAGAGTTGATGTCTGCACCCATCACCACCACCTGCAAGCCAGAGCTGGAATTCATCTCAGCAACTTTCTGTGGCTGCGATGGTGACATCTCTGGCTTGGAGAATGCCAGCTAGGGTGCAGCCAGTTGATGCAACACTTTTATCTGGACAGGGTTCTGCTGGCTGTCCCAGATGCTTGCTGGGTCTCCATTGCCTCTCCCTGACCTCTGCTTGCTGCACACAACTGGTTTCTCCCCCATGTTCCCTCACAGCAGCGCTGCCAGTTGGTATCAGCCTCAAAAGATGTCCCCAGTCTGTCACCAGCCCGCAGGAGACCTTCCAGCCACCACACTCTCCAGTTGGCGGGCTGGGATGTTGCAACTATTCATCCCTTGTTCCCTCCTGGACTTACTTTCCCATCCCCAAGGAGCTTTCACGATCTGCCAGTCCCATGGTCTCATCCTTTCTGTGTCCCTCCTGGAAGGGCCATTTCCCTCCCTTCCTTGGGTTCCTGGTTCTCCCAGTGATCCCAGTCTGGTGTTCAGGCCACACTGGTCTGGCTGTGTATGTAAAAGGAAGGGGAGCTGCCAGTGTGAGCTGCCTTGGTGCCTTTTTTTCTAAAGATTCAATTCATCCCACCAGGATGAAGCTCACAGATGATGCTTCATGTTGGGTGTCTACATAGGCATGTCCCCCCATGAGCTGGATAATTAAGATAATGAGACCAACAACTTGTGGACCGAAAGCAATTCCGGGTGCTCTTTCCATTGCTAAGATCAAGGTCTCAGTTCAGCCGACACCTAGGGCCACCCAAAATATTCTGGAGCATCCAAGACACCCACATCAGGCTGGCAGATACAGAACAGGACCCCCACGGGACAGCTGATAGCCAGCCCCAGGGCATCTCAGATGTCACCATGCACCTCTGTGCAGATCACTTGGCTTTAGCAGGTGATGGAGAGAGGAAAGGAGAGCAGTTCTCTCCTTTCCCACCCAAAACCAGGATGAGGTGTGCTCTGCAGAAGCCTCTAAGGAGTAGCTGAGACCACCTGCCTGAAGTACAGACAGCTGGTGCCAGGTGAAACAAATCCCACCTGATGTATCCCAGTTAAAAACATCGTTAGGTGCTCCAGACTGATTTTGATCCCCTTTCCTTGCAAGACAAAACTCACAGCAGCCATTTGGGAGAAGAAAAGTCTTCTGCTATTATCTACATCAACCATCACTCAAGAACCAGCCAGTTCTTTATCAATGTCTAAGATATTTTGGGTGTGGTATAACCTGATTTGCACTGAACACTGTATTGCTCTGCTTTCTCGCTCAGAGGTGAAGCACGCCAGGAACTGCCCCATTGATTGTGCTTCTGTTTACTACAATGGGGTCCGACGGTCTGGGGTCTACAGCATCATGCCCTCGATTGGAGGGATGCCCATTGAAGTGCTCTGTGAGATGGACACTGAAGGTACTGCAGGAGGCACCTACCATACCTTCCAGCAGGGCTTTGGGTGGGATTTGTCCAACCTGGGAGTTGTATCTTATATGCAGTGATAGGATGAGGGGTAATGGATTTAAATTGGAAGAGGGCAGATTTAGACTAGAGATTGGGAAGAAATTCTTGACTGTGCGGGGGGTGAGGCAGTGGCCCAGGGTGCCCAGAGAAGCTGTGGATGCCCCATCCCTGGAGGGGTTCAAGGCCAGGCTGGATGAGGCTTTGGGCAACCTGGGCTAGTGGGAGGTGTCCCTGCCCATGGCAGGGGGTGGAATTGGATGGTCTCTAAGGTCCCTTCCAACACAAACTGTTCTGTGATTCTATATCTGAGTTATTCTGAGGCTGGTTTATAGTTGGTGAGAGCAGCACCTCCAGAAGGGCTCTTCTCCAGGGATAGAGGACTTGTCCTCTCTGCTGGCTATAGAAGGCTTTGGATGGATGGTTCAAACCAGACATTATGGCTGTAGTTCAGTTGCCTAAATACAGGTGTTCAGTGCTCTTTGAGAGGTCCTCACGCATCTGAGATATTTGCAGCACACTAGTGGGTATGACTGTTAAGGAAGCTCGCGCCGTCCGGGCATCCAGTGTTATCTCCGTAGTCTCATCTCTGGGTTTCCTGGAGCAGAGTCCCAGGCATCAAAGTCAAAAAATAAATAATTTATTAAATGGTACAGCAGCAGGGACAGCTGGAGCTGGGTGAGTCCAGAGAGGGACCACGAGCCAGGAAATTCCAGGGCAATGACACCCTTTCAGAGTATACACATGCCCTCAACATGTGCAACTTTTGTTCCAATGATGATTTTGTTTTGGGGTCATCTAACACCTCCTTGGATTCTCCCTCTGGGCAGGTCGTCAGTTGTTCTTATCTTGAGGAGTTGCTTCCGTTGTTGGCAGTTGTAGCCTCCGTATCTTCTAGTCTGTGGGGGGGGTTTTTTGGCAGAATATGAGAAACTGCCCAAGTTGCAGACTTTTTATCAATATTAACTGCTTAGCCACAACAGCCATAACCACAACTTCAGTGTGTTATCTTCATTATTCTCACAGTAAAAAACCCAAAACACAGCACACTGTACCAGCTACTGAAAGGAAAAACAGACCTCGGTGGGAATTTACGGCTTGTGGTCTCAGGCTTCAGCAAATCTAACTGCTTGCTAATATCTAAAACTAAATATATAGCATACAAATCACACAACCTTGCAACTCTAAGTGATTAGTTCTATTCAAAACTCACTTATTTGAGCTCTACGGCTTATATTTCTTAATGATGACACGGGGCTTAGGGGAAAAAGCAGCTCTTCTGGAGTAGCAGGTGGTGGTATCTGGAGCATCTTTGGGTGGTTGAGGGCTAGGGGTGGGCAACCACTAGTTGTAGCTGTGATGAGTTGGGGAGGGGGAACATAGATTCTCTCCCACTGTTATTTTGGAGTGAAAATGAGGGAGCAGGTGACCTCCCATGCCCTTGCTGTCTAAATACCCGTATGGAGCACGCTATCGTCATCCCAAGGCACAACCTTACCAACAAAATTACTTTGCAGCACTTAAGTTTTGGAAGAATCATGGCAATCGTCAGGGAAATGGGGCTGTGGATTGTCAGTTCCCTGGCCCATGGATCTACCCCAGCCTGGATGGATGTGTCACATCCACACGTCCCGTGCTGGAGGAAGGGGTTCAGTGCCCTCCATGTAGGCGTCTCGCCTTTTGGAGGATCTACAGGTGATTGCAGCTTTGGGATGCATGCGGTCGTTAAGAAACAGGCTGTTCGGACGACGTGGTCTCTGTGATGTCATTACTATTATTTGCATGGCCATCAACACAATCTTGGACACTGTAGAGTGCCAGGTTGTACAAACAGCAAATAAAAAGATGGCCCCAGGCCCCCTTCTCCCCTCCAGGCGCACAATATTGGAATAAAATGAGAGAGGAGAGAGGGATTTGGACAGATGGCAGAGCAGATGGAGAGCTGGGAGAGCTCGTGTGCCTCTGTGGTGCTGCAGGAACAGGACATAATAATCTCCAAACTCCAGGATCTCAAGTTTGTTCCAATCCCAAAACATTTGCTTCCCAAAAACTACCAGCTCCCTCTCATTTAAAACCACCTCGAGATCTGGGACGGAGGAACATCATCACAAACCAACATGGGAGAGGTGTCAGCCCTTTTCCATGAGCTATGACGGGCATCACATTTTATCCCCGTGCAGCCACCAACCCTCTATTTTGGCACTTGGTGGGAGGAGGCATGACAAGGAGACACCTTGCTGAGCTGCAGATGGATCCTCAGAGATGACACCACTGAGGAGTCTGTCTGGGACCCTCTGGATGCTCCCTGGAGGCTCCCATTTTACCTTATCTCTCTCCTGGCAGGTGGGGGCTGGACAGTCATCCAGAGGCGTCAGGATGGCTCAGTTGACTTCAACCGGACCTGGAACGAGTACAAGGAGGGCTTTGGGGACCTCAGTGGTGAGTTCTGGCTGGGCAACGAGAACATCCACAAGATGACAAGCCAAGGGGACTACTCTCTGCGCATCGACCTGGAGGACTGGAACAACAAGCACAAGCACGCCTTCTACCAGGTCTTCAGGTAGAAAGTGGGATGGCCTTCCCTGGTTCTCATAGACACAACTGGGTCAATGTTGGGAGACCTTCAGGCATGGGAACACTGCTGAGGTCAGAGTGACTGTCTTTTCAGATTGGACCTGGGCTGTCTATCCTTTCTTCCCCACCTGGATCTGACCACTGGTTTTTGCTCTGGGTTGAGGCCTGGGTGTGAGCTAGCAGATGTCCAGTGTCGTTTGGCCATGGCCAACATCCACAGCCCCAGGGGAAGGGAGCTGGAGGACGCAATGGATGGTGCCCACCTGCTTAGGGGTATTTTCTTCTGCCAAAATTATTGAGCTCTATGTGAGAAACAAGGTTTTGAATCCCATGGTCTTGCTGGGCAGGTCTTTCAGCATCTCCTTTGTTTTAGAACTGTGTTTTGATTTTTCTCCTCTGTACTCATGGCTTGCTGGACCTGATGTAATGTCCTTCAGTGCCTGTAGACCTTCCCCTCCTTTGGCATTTCATTATTCCATAACACATCCGCCACATCCTTTCTCAATCAGGGGTGACCAGGTCTGTCTAGACTGTCCCAGCTTAACTCCTTTCCTGTCTCTACTGGAAATGCCTGTGGGTGACTGTGGAGTAATCCCCCACGGGAGGATGTCCAAGGTAGCACTTCACCTCATGGACACTTGGAGCTTGAGGGCTTTGAGAAAACTCCAAAACTGCTGGAAAAAAAAAAAAAATCCCATTGCCTGAATATGCCATAGAGCATCCTGCACCAACAAATGTGTGCTCTGAGTGGTCATCCCGACTTTTCTCATCAGACGTCGTGTGCAATCGCAGTGACCTGCAGCCTTTGCTAACCCAGGGGTGGGTTACTAATTAGCTCATCCTAGGTGAAGAGCAGGATGCTTGTTACACAGAGAGGAGGCAGGGCTGTGTAATTAGAGGGACTGCCTTTCCAAAGCCGCCTCAGTCCTTTATTGTGGTTTTAGAGTCACGATCTGCCCGGTTCAGCCCTATAACAAGCTCCCTGAGTCATGGCAAAATCATGTGCATGCCACAGAAGGGAAAAACACAACATCTTGGGCTTTTAGAGGTGATGAATCATAGCAGGGAGGCTGGCCGGAGCAGCTCGATGATTGCTAGGTGTCCACACCAGGAATGCGGTACCCAGCTTGGAAGCGCTCCCCATTAAACAGTCCCACCTTTGTTGCTTGCAGCATTGAGGATGAAGCTAACTATTACCGCCTGCACGTGGATGGGTTCAGCGGGACGGTGGAGGATTCCTTCGCCTGGTACCACAACAAGAGGAGCTTCAGCACACCCGACTCAGGGAACATCTGCGCCGAGATTTCCCATGGGGGCTGGTGGTACCACCAGTGCTTCTTCTCCAACCTCAATGGAGTGTACTACAAGGTAAGGTGGAGGTATGAGGTTGCAGATGTTAGCATGTTCTCTTTTCACTGCATCTTTCATAGAATCATGGAATGGTTTGGGTGGGAAGGGGCCTCCAAGACCTGCCAAGTTCCACCTCCATGTGCAGGGACACCTCCCACCAGCCCAGGTTGCCCAAAGCCTCATCCAGCCTGGCCTTGAACCCCTCCAGGGATGGGGCATCCACAGCTTCTCTGGGCACCCTGGGCCAGTGTTTCAGAGCGATCGGTTTTCCGATGCTCCCATCCGGATGACACTTCTGTGCATTTCCCATGCCTGACCATCCTTCTTTCTCCGCATCACAGGGTGGCCGATACTCCATTAAAAACCGCAAGAGCCTGGGGCCGGATGGTATTGTGTGGTACTCGTGGAAGGACACAGACTACTACTCCCTGAGGAAGGTGGTCATGATGATTCGACCACGCACTTTCCGGCCCCACGTCTCCCCATGAAGGAACTTAGGATGTTCTTCATTTCACCTTATGTTGAATGTTGGGAACAGAGGGCTGGAATTAATTTGCTGTGAGCAAAAACTGATGCTGGAGAACCTGGAAGGACCGAGCCACCATGCCTGATGCTACTTGTTTGCTTTTGAGAAAACCAAACCAAAGGCAGAGGTGTCAAGAAATTCTAGAAGTGTTTGGGTGGTGAAGTGTGGAGGTGATTGCAGAGAAGGGCTTTGCAAAGACAAGCACGTGGCTCGCTGTTTCAGTGAGCAGCAGCAGTCCTTGGCAGGCTTGGGCAGCCCCAAGGCTTGAGACTCAATCCAGTTGACTGGGTGATGAGATTCAACCACACGCTGAGGCTGGACGGACCTTATGTTGAATGGAGATATTGAGTGGTCTGGCCACCAATCCAACGGTACTTTAGAGGGAAGCAAAGAACCAGCAATCCTCTACGAGTTTTACACAAAGAATGTGATGGACCAATTCTTGCTCCATAAGATGAGCATCTCTCTGGTCTTGGCAGTTTTTCCTTTCACATTACCATGTATGTGTTTGGTGCTGAAGGTCCACCACCCCAGGGATGCACTACGGTGGCTCCAAGGTTCTGAGATGACCCTGAGGAAAGCCAGGATGCCAGGGATGGTGTCATGGGCAAAGATGGAGGAAGGTCTGAAGTGGCCCTTGCCTTCTCTGGCAGGGATCGTGTTAAACACATGGACATTAGCAAGTTGTGATAATAATGCTCCAAATAAGAGGATTTAAAAATAAAAAATGCTGAAGTTTTTTTCCATTTTCCATTCCATTTTCCCCTCTCTGTCCTTCCTGCGGCAGGGAACTTCTGATTAATTTTCTGTCCACCCTAAAAGTGGTCTGCAGGAATGGTCAGACATGATTTTAAGTCTTTTTTGTACTGCCTTACTCTGGATAAAGAAGATTTGTTGTTGCTGTCTTTTAATTTTCCAGTTGTAGCCGCAGCAAGACACCTTTCTTTTTTCCTGACTTTGCCTCCTTGCAGGATCCAAGAGATGGTGGCTGGGACTTGGCCTCCTCCCTTATTGTGTTTGGTGATGAATATCTAATTAAATTACCTTTTTCCTGTTTCGTGTGCGCAAATGAGTTCAAAGAGGGTTCAGCAAAGGAGAAAGGTAGATGTAGTAGAGACAAAGCACCGTTCCTCCCCACCACTCGTTTCCTGCTTGATGTTCTGCTGGCTCCCTAATGCTTTCTGTACCTTGTACATGGTTCTGGACTATATTTTGTCTGGAACTTCATTTTTCATGAGCAAATCAAGTGGAGAAGTCACCTTCCAAGCATCCTACAAACTAATATCCCCAAGATGATAAAACAATGTTATTTGTTTTTCCAGCTGCTAGGTTTGCCTTGGTGATCTTCCTTGAGTGATGTTCCCAAGACATATCAGATGGTGTTTGGGAGTTGCAATGGGCTGGTCTACGCTGCTGTTGGACCTTCACTTGCCATGAAGATCTGGGCACTACCAAGGGTGGAAGGAGAGCTTTCTTGCTCATGACCAGCCCAGGAGCTCCAACTCCTCCCTGTTCCCCCAGGTGTGGCTGTCTTCTGACATTTATGGGCTATCAGAAGGTGGCACATGGGGTGGGCAGAAGTGACATGGTACCCACAGGACACAGGGGCCTTGGGAACCAGGGGGGGAACCCTGGCAGCATCTCTAATGGCTCTGTGTGGTGAGGTTAAGGTATTTGGTACCCCAGCAAGGCTAAGAGCAGCCTGAGTCTCATCACTGCAAGTCCCAGATCCAGACAGAGGATGCCTGAGTTCCTCCCAGGGAGGAGAAGTGGGACCAGTGTCTGCAAAAGCATCTCTGCTGCAGAAAGAAAAGGCTGAGCCTGGGCTCCTGGGTGTCATGCCCCATAAATTATAGGGGATGTGGCATGGAGGTACCTCCCCAGCTCTACGGGGCTGACAGCCCTGCTGGCTTCTCCTGGAGGAAGGGATTGTTCTGGTCCAGGCATCTGCTGGGTACCAGGCTCTGGGCAGGATAGGGCACTGTGGCTAAGCAAGAAATTAAACACACCCCATCAAATGACCCTGTGCTCTCAGTCCTGTGCCGGGGGAAAAAAGAGACTCTGACCCCTCCCCAGAACAGGGCTCCCAACTGTGGGCCTGGCTCCTTCTTCTGCCCTTCCCTCCACACTCAAATTAACCCCTGCCTCGTTAGTGTGGCTGACCCCATTATAGTGCTGTCTAAAGTGATGTGGGGCAGGGAATTGTATTGACAGAGCCTCATTGAGTGCAGCCATGAGGAAGAATCCCCACCACGTCCTGTGCATGGCTACGCTCTCCAGACAGCCCTGCAGACC